GACCAATTCAAATTCCTCAAAGGAAACATTTTTGCTCATGTTGTAACCTCTAAATAATTTGGGAATACCCTGTATTCACACATCTCTGGTAACATCTAAAATTTTCACCTTAAATTTCAATAATTTCAAGGATGGAATTTCTGGCATATTATCAATATTAACTTTTAAGAAACTATTATAAAATTATAGACATATAGAAAAGTCACAGGGATCCCTGGGTGGCGCATCGGTTTAGCGCCTGCCTTTGGCCCAGGGCGTGATCCTGGAGACCCGGGATCGAATCCCACGTCGGGCTCCCGGTGCATGGAGCCAGCTTCTCCCTCTGCCTATGTCTCTGCCTCTCTCCCTCTCTCTCTCTGTGACTATCATAAATAAATAAAAATTTAAAAAAAAAAAAAAAAAAAAAGAAAAGTCACAAAAATATACAGTCTCATATACCCTTCATCCAGCTTCCCTAATGTTAACATCTTATAACATCAAAGTATTATCATCAAAACCAGGAAATGAATACTGACAAGATACTATTGACTAGCAATCTTATTCAAAATTCACCACTTTTGCCACTAATGCCTTTTTTCTGTTTTAGAATCCAATCCAGGATTCCATACTCGATTTACTGTAATATCTCTTTAATTCTGGTCTTTGATAATTACTCCATCTTTCTTGTCTTTCATGATTTTTGACACTTTAGAGATTACTGATCAGTTATTTTGTAGAACAACCTTCAGTTTGGCTTTGTCTAACATCCTCTCATTATAAAATTAAGGTTATGTGTCTTAAGCAAACAAGAAATGATGTTTTGCCCTTCTCAGTACATGATAGATCAGAAGTCCATGGTATTGCTAGGTCTTATTTCTGGTGATATTAACCATGATCTATTAGTTAACATGGTGTCTGCCATGATGCTTTATGTAAATTTACTATTTTTCCCTTTTCAATTAACAAGTAATATTAAAGATAAACAAAATTACATCACCCTTCTAAATGTATCACATGGACCCTAGAAAGTATTTAGGGTCAAAATTTAATAACCTTCATCAACCATTCATTGAACATCTATTCCTTAACTACCAAACTAAGCAATCCTTAACACTCAAAAATGTTACCATGTTCCTTTTTCTTGAACTTCTATTGTATTTTTTCTACAAAAGGTTATCCTGATGTAACATATTTTTATACTTGGATTACATACCTATTATCCAGCTGTTGTTCACTGCAAAAACATACCTCTACATAAATATTTTTTAAATTTCTTGTGACCAAAGGGTTCTAATTATCAAACCAAAAGAAATTTTGGAATATCATTATCATTAACATTAGTACCCGATGGATCAAAACACAAGTGTATTATACACTGGGAAAATTAATTATTAGGCAAAAAACACAATGTCATTAAAAGTATATCTACAAAATAAAAGGAGCTTACTCATTTTTTTATGGTTTATGAATCCATGAATGAATATTACTTAATATGAGAAGGAGACAAGGTTCAGCATTAATCCTATTCCTTTTTTTTTTTTAAAGGTTTCATTTATTTATTCATGAGAGAGACACAGAGAGAGAGAAAGGCAGACACAGGCAGAGGGAGATGCAGCCTTCATGTAGGGAGCCTGATATGGGACTTGATCCCGGGACTCCAGGATCACACCCTGAACTGAAGGCAGACAGACCCTTAACCGCTAAGCCACCCAGGCATCCCCTACTCCTTTTTTTTTTTAAGACAAAAGTGCTTATTAATAACCACAGAAGGGGGATCCCTGGGTGGCGCAGCGGTTTGGCGCCTGCCTTTGGCCCAGGGCGCGATCCTGGAGACCCGGGATCGAATCCCACGTCGGGCTCCCGGTGCATGGAGCCTGCTTCTCCCTCTGCCTGTGTCTCTGCCTCTCTCTCCGTCTCTCTCTGTGTGACTATCATAAATAAATAAAAATTAAAAAAAAATAAAAAATAAAAAAATAACCACAGAAGGGACTGAAAACCTTTTGTTATAATGTTATTCAATTCTCTGAGCTCCCTTAGTTATATGCCAGATTTTGCATAACAATATACTGAAAAGAATGGTTTTTAATAATCTGACATCTATGTAACCCAAAACACACAAATAAACTCTAAGTCCCCCACAGTAAACTCTCTATTTCAGGCTAAAAAGAATTTATATAGTTTCTTAAATTTCATTGTACTGTAATATGATTTGACTTCATATACAGTCTCCTCTTATATATCAAAACTATTTTTATAACCCAACAAATGTCCCAATATAATGATTTGCTATTTAATTTAAAAATCATAAACATAAGTGATATAAGGCTACAAATTTGTTTAATCAAGATTTAATCTTTTTGCTAATGGTACAGGTTTTTTTTCCTGATAGGTATATTAGCAATATATCTATCACAAAGTGTTTAAGTATTTGTTTTGGACAGTTTTTCCAAAATGTTGTACATCTGAGTTTCCTTTAAAAAGAATACTTCCAGACTGAATTAAATGGTTACTAAGTCAGGACGCCTGGGTGGCTCAACAGTTGAGTGTCTGCCTTTGGCTCAAGGCATAATCCCAAGTACAGGGATTGAGTCCCACATCGGGCTCCCTGCATAGAGCCTGCCTCTCCCTCTGCCTATGTCTCTGCCTCTCTCTCTGTGTCTCTCATGAATAAATAAAATCTTTAAAAAAAATGGTTATTAATGCAAAGCCTAGTATAAGCACACCCAATTCCACTATTATCTGGTAGATGACAGAGCTTAAAGAGGGAAAGAACTGGGTAGCCGCGGTGGCTCAGCGGTTTAGTGCCGCCTTCAGCCCAGGGCGTGATCCTGGAGACCCGGGATCCAGTCCCACATCAGGCTCACTGCATGGAGCCTGCATCTCCCCCTGCCTGTCTCTCTGCCCCTCCCTCTCTCTCTCTCTCTCTCTCTCTCTCTCTCTCTCTGTGTGTGTGTGTCTCTCATGAATAAATAAATAAATAAAATCTTTAAAAAAAAAAAAGAGGGAAAGAACTAAAATAAATAGTAAGGAGGTAATCCAATTAGTAGAGAAGTATGGAAATGCTAAAAGTGGTAGACAAGTAGCATTTGAAAGCTCAAGGATATAAAATTTAATTTCCACAACAAGCAAAAATAGAGGTCAGGTTGTAAAGGAGAGAAGGAGCCACAAAAGCACATAAAAGGAGGCACACTCTTGGAATCAAGTACTGATTAGAAAACTGAAAAAGGAATATTATGCCCTTTAACTGTGTACTTTAAGCTCTAAATAAATTAGCATAAACTAGTATGTGCTCTAAATGTTTATGAGCTAGTTTCAAGTAGGAACTTTCCTGGAGGCAGTAAGTTTAAAAAAAAAAAAAAAATCTCCCAACTGCCATAGGAATAACCTTGTATAAAATAAAGCATAAAGTAATCAAAATATACCCTAACCCCAAAGTTATTAAACATTTTTAAAAACCCTAATGCCGGGGATCCCCGGGTGGCCCAGCAATTTAGCGCCATCTTCAGCCCAGGGCATGATCCTGGAGACCCAGGACGGAGTCCCACATCAGGCTCCCTGCATGGAGCCTGCTTCTCCCTCTGCCTGTGTCTCTGCCTCTCTCTCTCTCTCTCTCTCTCTCTCTCTCTCTCTCTCTCTCTCTGTGTGTGCATGTGTGTGTTTCTCATGAATGAAGTCTTAAAAAAAAACCCTGATGCCTTTTATGCAATGCTTCCATCCAACATTATTATTCTGCCCTTGTGTAATGATATTTTTCTGAAGTTACGTAAAGTATTGGTTCTATCTCAAATTTATACAAGAATAAAACAGTCTATTAAGGAGAACCAAAGTATTTATTAAAACAGCAAACCAGCTAGGATGCCTGGGTGGCTCAGTCAGTTGAGCATCCAGCTCTTGATTTCGGCTGAGGTCATGATCTCAGGGTTGTTAAGACTGAGCCCCATATCAGGCTCTGCACTCATCGGGGAGTCTGCTTGAGATTCTCTCTCTGCCCCTCTCTCCCGATTGTGCATTCTCCTTCTAAAATAAATAAATCTTTGAAAAAAAAAATAAAACAGCAAAGCAGTTTAAGCTACCGATCACAATTTTTTATTCCTGAGAAAAAGCAAACTTCTCACTGACTACATGAACTAATTCTTACCCTAAGTGTTGTCCTAATCATGTAATGAACCCATCAGTCACAACTGTCCTGCAAATCAACAGTGAATTTGGTATGATCTTTAGATGTGATCAAACCAAAAGGGATAAATTTGGAAGGCATGACTTGTGAAAAAGGCTGAAAATAATGTGAGTGTTCTCTATGAAAGGTCTTTTGCTCAAGGTACAGAAAAGGCCAACTTTTTTATGTGGTGGTTTTAAAGTGTAGGGTGAATGTGTGTACATGGACCAGGCACATTAGATCTTTCTGGCTCCAATACCTCTATAGAGGAGAAATGGCAGGAAAATAGGGAAGGCATGATGAAGTTGCACCCATCTTTTAGGAACAGGGTCTAGTTGGATCTTAGTATCCAAAAACCCAAACTTTAGAAGATTAAGGATTTCGAAGCTAGCTGAATTCTATAAATATATTGTTTTTTATGATAATCAGCAAACCTGCCTTTGATAAATCAGGCTGAATCAGCTATGTGAGGCAGACAAAGACAATACATTTTGTCCACGGGTAGATAGCAGTTTTAGAAGGAGACCGTAATAGTGATAGTAGCAGGAATCAACTACTTTAAATGAAGGGAAGGACATGGTAAGGAATCAAGATAGCCAAATATGAGGCTCAATGGACAACTCTCTTTGTACATACATGGAGAAATCCTACCCTCTGTCAAATGTTTATTTTTGTTTTGTTTTTCAAGACTTTCCTAACAAGCCTCATGTACACAGATAGGTAGACTCAAAGTACTCCCAAGAAATACTAAGTAAAGTCACCTCAATTTAAACTCTAAAGAGTCATTTGAAAGGATACTGACATAGTTGGGGTCTAAAAAGGAGGTTTCTATAATAGATACTTCAAGTAACTTTTAAGGACTCACCTGTAGGCTTAACTGAATAAAAACCAATGGCCTCTCCTTTCTTCCACAGAATCTTAGCGTAATCAGTACTGCTATGACACAGGAATGGTATCTCATGTCTCTCCATTTCCTGTTTTCTATAAATAATTCGATTCAGAACATACAGAACCACTCTCTCCCCAAGAGTTCTCACCTGGAAAGAGAGTCAGACACCAGGCACAACAGTTATGATACGCATCCATTCAGAGATGCCATCTACCTATTGCTTCCTGCTTCTACACCTCATACTAGCATTCAAAGCACTGGAAATACACTCAAAATGATTTCTTAAACCTTCCATCACACAGATGAGATGAATCATTCACAGCAATAACAATTCATATCTACAAACACATACTATGCATGGAATACTGCCTCTCAGCAAAATTCTAAAACAGGCAAATGAGTTTCTAATGTACCAATCCTCAGCATCTCTTCCTTAGCGCTCAAGTGTTTTCTTTCCTCTTCCAGTTGCCCAGATCCAGAGTTTCCCCCACCGTAAGTGCTGCTGCTCCCAACACCTCTACTGCTTCAACTCTTTTTCACCCCCATTCTAGCCTCAACAGTAAATTAAAAAAGAGCAGGGGGGGACCAAAAAAAGTTATGTTATCCTCGAAGACTTTGAGAACAATAACTTATTTGATGAGCAAGGCCATACTTATCTTCTTAGAAAAGGAATCTGAAAAAAAGAAAGAAAAGAAAAGAAAAGAAAAGAAAAGAAAAGAAAAGAAAAGAAAAGAAAAGAAGAGAAAAGAAAAGAAGAGAAAAGAAAAAAAAGAAAAAAGAAAAGAAAGAAAAGAAAGAAAAGAAAAGAAAGGAAAAGGAAGAAAGGAAAGGAAAGGAAAGGAAAGGAAAGGAAAGGAAAGGAAAGGAAAGGAAAGGAAAGGAAAGGAAAGGAAAGGAAAGGAAAGGAAAGGAAAGGAAAGGAAAGGAAAGGAAAGGAAAGGAAAGGAATCTGTCTCATCTTTTCCAGGTAAAATGTTCATTTAACAGTCATGTCTTGGGAATCTTAACTATAAGGAATACCCACTTCACCCCACATACATACCCACAGACCCTACAGTGGCACAGGAAAGTCTGATAAAAACAAACATGGGGCACTCACAGGATGGAGGTAGAGGCTCACTTCCTACATGCAGAGCCACATGGTCACCGGGACCCCCTCACCAACTTTCTGACATCAAAGGATGTGGTTTTCCTTAGACATCTTTTCACCACTCAAAACAAGAGTTCTATCCATAAAGTCTATTTCCCCTCAAGTCTCCTCAAGGAAAAACAAGAGTGCCCTCTAATTAAGTGAATGAAGAACAAAAAGTATTAACTATACACACACTACTCTCAAAAAATAAAACAACAAAACTACCTTAACCATACTACACACTAGGGGATACCAGATACCAAATACAAGAAATGACAAAGCTCACTAGCTTTCAAGGCAACCCATTCCTTCCTTGAACAGCTCTGACCACTATAAAATTCTTCTTCACTAGCTTTCAAGGCAACCCATTCCTTCCTTGAACAGCTCTGACCACTATAAAATTCTTCTTCATACTAAGCAGACTATAACCAAAAACTGTACTTTGAAGAAGCCAAGACATTCAACTAAAGGAAGAGACTGACTGAATGCAATGTGGGGTCCCCTCCCTTGAAACTGCTCCAGATCCTTAACGTCTCTCTTTCCACTGGGACTTGGCAGACATTAACAGATCCGAATGCTGAAGATATTGCTAAGACAATGGGACTTTGCTATATAGGCATATTTTTTATTAGCTGTTTTGCTTACCTTGGCTTTAGTCCCAATTAACTATAGCCCAAGCGTTTTCATATGCACTGTTTTAGCTTGTTCTTAATGGTGCACATGTGCAGTTAATTTTTTGAACCTCCGGGTACTACTTTTCATTGTGTTACATCCTGCTCTTTGTTTCTGAACTCTGCCTTTCATAGACTGGTTTCTCCCATCAAGCACTGTGGCAGGCAGAAGTGATCAGCATACCAGCTATGTATGCCTTCCTCTCAGTAAATGATAAAATGTTGACCAGGACAGAAAAAAAAATGATAAAGTTTGGTAGTACGCCCCCGAGGACCTCCCTTCTATTCCACTCTTTAGAACACTTGAAGAGACCACGTAAAATGGCCCTTCTGATAGACAGGTTTCCTGGTCAGTCTCTCCTATAGACAGAGAATACAGGCAAACACACAGAGAGAACTAGCTTTTTCTCTACCCTTTAAGAAAACCAGAAGTTAACAGGTCGATTCAGGTCACTACATTTCAAGTAACCCCAAGGTATTCGCTCTTCCTCACCCAAATTTGATACTTTTTGGAACCACGTAAAATTAAGGAAGTTCAATCAGACTACCAGTTTCATCATAACATTGAAACTCTAAGGGTTTAATACAACCTGGTTATACTAAAATGGAGAAGTGCTCAATAATTTCATCAACTATCAATGTTTAGGGGAAACATACTGTAAAACAGCCTCAGAAGAAACAGTTTTAAATTACAGGATCTTGTTACCTGCTTAAGCCCTTCTCTAGAAGGAACAGATGTTTTCACAATATCATCAATAGCCCACCACTGATCAGCAAGGTAAAGTGCCACAGCTAAAACAGAATAAATTATTATTAACATTTCAGTCTTACAGTATGCAATATTACTATTTGAAAAAGCTTATACAGGTAACCTTATTAAATACACCCACACTTTTAAGACAATGTGGCCCCATTTACACCTTTTTTATTTCACTCAGTAAACATTTAATTACAAATAAGTAAAAAAAAAAAAAACCAAAAGAATTACAAACAAGTGAAAATTTTATTTTCTGAAATTTAGTTTGAAACAATTTTTTAAGCTCCTTCATGTAGCTACTTTTTTTTTTTTTTTTGTAGCTACTTTTTAATAAAGATCTTATTGTTTGGAGAAAACTTCCTCAATTGATAAAGATTAAGCAGAAAAGAGACCTGTGAGTGAGTCCTCAGGTGCAAAAAGAGCAAGAATTTTCTCAGTCTGATCTCCACCATAGAGAGGTACAAAGCCTACATTTGACAGGCTAATAGGAATCTGAAATGACAATTGATTAAAGAGTAGTGAAGAGTTTGTTAAGAAAACATAGGGCAAAAAAACCATGCTTCTACCAAAATATTGAACTTTCTCTACATTAATACAAATTACATAATTTAATTTCATAGAAAATATTTCCAGTCTCAAAAAAATTAGTAATCAGACTTCCCTTTTGCAAGAATCTTATTATTTGGGGAAAAAAATTAAAGTTTACTTCAATAAATATTACTACTATGCTCTAGCCACACATCTGAATAAAAACAAAGGCATGATACGGAACATAAACTCATTAAAAAACAACTATGTTTATCATCTGTTATTTAGACAATCTCACGGGGGTAAATCTCATTTTATAGTCAAAGACATCAGATAGGTACATTTGTTTTCCCTGTGAGATACAGATGATACTTTTAAGATTTTTCTACCTTCATTTATCTGACCATAATTCCCCATTTAGAGATAATATTACAATTCAAATAATTATAAAATATTTGTGGTTTATAAGAATAAAATTTTTAAATCCTGGTGTTTTGGAAGAACAGATTTTTTTTTTTTTTTTTTTTTTTTTTGGAAGAACAGATTTTAAAAAATCCTTTAAACATCATTTTCTGGAAGAAAACTCTGAGGCCAGCAGAGTGTACAGAACTGGCCTACCATCTATTTCACAGTGGAATGCTAATGATCTTTCCCTCACAATACATCACACTTATAAATTAGAAAGTTGGATAGAAAAAAAAATAATTTGTGACATAAAAATATGTAATTGTTTTGCTGATTTTTTTATTAAAAATTTCTAAAGTCACAAATTCCAAATCTAAAGTAAACTTAATTTAGTTAGCTCAAATGCCATAACCAGTCTTAGCAAAACAACTTACATATAATTTTAAAAGCAAAATATAAATATTAAGCAATAACCTGTCTTTTTAAAACTTGATCATGCTGCTGTACTAACCAACCAATATTTACCCATTTTACTCAACAGTCTTTGGAGGAAAACTTCAAAGGTGATTAATTAACATTTTTAAATGAAAAATAGTAAGAAGATACTGATTTCACATATAAACTCAACTTAAAAGGTTGACAAAAATCACCTTTGCACACCTTACCGTAATATTGAGAAGAGAAAAACGTTCAGGATTTTCAGGGTCCCCACACCTTAGATCTGACATATAATCTTCAGCAGAATTTTCTAGTTCCTCATGACTGCAATTATCCAGCATATCCACAGGGAATGCCATTCTCTTCAACAAACAAGATGGGACAAATATTTTAGAAGACGAAATGTTTTCTTTTTACTCATAGAAAAAACTTTTTACTTTAATACCACACTTTATTTTTTTTCTTTTTTTTTTTTAATTTTTATTTATTTATGATAGGCACACAGTGAGAGAGAGAGCCAGAGACATAGGCAGAGGGAGAAGCAGGCTCCATGCACCAGGAGCCCGACATGGGATCCGATCCCGGGTCTCCAGGATCGTGCCCTGGGCCAAAGGCAGGCGCTAAACCACTGTGCCACCCAGGGATCCCTAATACCACACTTTAAAAAACCTTTGCTAAGACAGACAACAATCTGAGCCTGATGACTGAAAATATACATTAAAAAAAACTTTGAAATATTCATTTGTACTAAAAATAAGCAATGAAATAGGAAACAATGGGTAATTTCCTAAAAGATAAAAATATACAGGCTAAGGTATACATATTTGCATATATACACATGCATTTTTTTTTAGAAGACTTTATTTATTTATTCATGAGACACAGGCAGAGTGAAAAGCAGGCTCCCTGCAGGGCACCCAATGAGGGATTCGATCCCAGGACCCCGGGATCACAACATGAGCCAGAGGCAGATGCTCAACCACTGAGCCACCCAGGTGTCTCTATACATATGCATTTAAGTATATCCTCCTATATCTGTCAACATATAAACCACTATATAAAAGGACAGACACATGGGAACTTCTGGGATTAACAAAAATATTTTACAATCCTATAAATTTTCTTTAAAAAAAAATCACTGAATTGGACAGTTACGATAGATAAATATTATGGCGTGTAAGTTACATCTCGTATATATGTATGTGCACATATATATATTTTTAAAGCCAGCATCTTAGTGGGGACACACTAAAGACTTTCCTACTGGGGTGCCTGAGTGGCTCTGTCGGTTAAGCATCTGCCTTTGGCTCAGGTCATGATCCCAGGGTTCCTGGGACAGACAAGCCCCAGTTGGGCTCCCTGCTCAGAGGGGAGTTTGCTTCTCCCTTTGCCCTCCACCTCATGCTCTCGCACATGTCCTCTCTTTTGCACTCTCTCAAATAAATATTTTTTAAAAAGACTTCCACTACAACCAAGAAAAATAAAGACTCTACTACTATATAAAATTATATAGGTATTTGTCAATGCAATTCAACAAGAGAAAGCAATTAAAGGCTTAACAACTCGAGATAGGTATAAGGGTTTAGGGAGAGACTCACTCTACTTCTACTTGCAAACATATTTAATTGAAAAATCCAAAAGAATCTACGAAAAATTATACCAAGCAGTAGGAAATTGTAGTTGAATAGTAGGATATAAAATTAAACACATACATCAAGACTTCATATATATAATAACCACCGGTAAAAGGAAATAATGAATGGAAAAAATTAGTAAAAAGGGAAAATAAGATCCCATCTACAAAAGCAAAAATTAAAATAGGCTTAAGTTTAACAACAATAAACAACAGGAAATCTATTTAAGTCTAAAACACTCTTGAAAGAAGCAAAGTAAACAAACTAAGAAAAGACAAACCATGTTCTTTGGAAAGGACACAATACCAAAAAGATAGTAGCTCTCCCTAAAATAATCTATTAATTTAAGGCAATCCTAATGAAAATAGCTTTTTTTTTCCTGAAGCAAAACGGGTTAATTATAAAGTTAATTTGAAAAGGTAAATAAGCAAGAATAACTAGAAAAATCCTCAAAAGGCAGAGCAATGGCTGGAGAAAGGTATAAGACTTGTCAGATATTAAAACATAGTCTAAAACTTCTAGGGACTCATGGCTGGCTCGGTTGGTAGAGCATGTGACTCTTGATTTTGAGGTTGTGACTTTAAGCCCCACGTTGGTCATAGGACTTACTTAAAAATAAATTAAAAAATAGAATATTTTTTTTTTAATGGGGAACGGAGTGTACCTGGGTGGCTTAGTCGTGGAGCATGCAACTCTTGATCTCAGGGTTGCAAGTTTGAGCCCCCACCTTGGGTGTAGAGGTCACTTAAAAATAAAATCTAAACAAAACAAAACAAAACCATAAAACTTCTGTAACAGGCACATGAATACTCAAACCAATGTAATAATAAGATATGGAAATAAACCCTAAGATCTATGGAAATGGAATACAGGATTAAGGGGAGCTATCTCAATCAGAAGGGGTAAAAAGAACTTTTTAATAAGGTAGTATTGTTTCATTGGTCTTATGGTATGGTTAAATCAGACAATTTCACCCATCTTTGAACTTCTTATATCTAAAATCATACAGCAGGCTTTCTATTATGTCAACTCTTTTCATTCAAGGTTATTTCTGTGAGAAACAGCAGCAGTGTTGGTGATGCCAGTTAATTTGTTTATTGCTTTTATTGCTATGTAGTATTCCATCATACCCAAATACAGTTTATTTACCTATTCTCTTACTGATGGGCAGGTGGGCTGCTACGAGCGTTTGGGCAGGAGTATTTTGGCACGTATAAATGCACTCATATGTACTAGGTATGTATATCCACACTTAACCAATCTTACTAAAAGTAGGATGAGAACTCCTATGCATCCTCATGTGATATGACAAGAAAACTGGACCCAAATCTAACCAAATCATTAGACAAATGTGAAATGAAGCCTTATGTATATGGTCAGCCAAACTTAGAACTCTGTTTCTACAATAAATATACAGCATGGAGTTTTACAAAAAAAAGGTAAACACTAATGTAAGTTAAACGAAACTTAAGAGACATATCAGATGCATGGAGAGGATCCTGATTTGTGTACTCTTTAAAATATCCATTATAAAGTTAAATAAAAACCTACAATCTACATCAAATACTGAGCTACTAGTTCTTAAAAGAGTATATATAAAGCAATATAGATGATTTTGCTTTAAAAATTCCCTATTTTGGGGGTGCCTGGGTGGCTCAGTCAGTGAACTGTCCGACTCGACTTCAGCTCAGGTCTTGATCTCAGGGTTGTGAGATCAAGCCCCATGCTCGGCTCCACACTGCGCTTAGAGCCTACTTAAAAATATATAAATACCTAAATAAAATAAAAATTCCCTATTTTGTATTTACCCAAAATAAAAACTGGGGAGCAAGAACAGCTATATTTGTCAATAACCTCTTCAGTTTTCATAAAGGAAAATTCAAAAAGGGAAAGAAAGGCAGAAGAAAAGCAACTGAGAAAAGCAAAGTTACTTTTCTCTGAAATGACCTTCAAATCCATTTTATCACATTAACAGTATTAGACAGGAATTGAATATCTGGTGGAAATATAACAAACAAATAAAAGGACACACACGGTAACAGTTATAGTTAAATACAGTTTTCTGGGGTAGCCTGGGTGGCTCAGCGGTTTAGTGCTGCCATCAGTCCAGGGCATGATCCTGGAGACCCAGGATCGAGTCCCACATCGGGCTCCCTGCATGGAGCCTGCTTCTCTCTCTGCCTATGTCTCTCATGAATAAACAAATAAAAATATTTTTTAAAAATACAGTTTTCTGAATTTTGAAGATATGGTGATAATGAGATAATCTGAAATATTGGTCTTAGGGACTTTAAAACTTGGTGTACATATGACTGGGAGCCTAATTTTATTCAAATAATGCTGTGTGTATATGTGGCTTGGTTGGATCTCTCACTTCAGCTCAGGTCGTAATCTTGGGGTCCTGGGATCAGACCCCACCTTGGGCTCTGAGAAGTCTGCTCCTCCCTCTCCCTCTGACCCTCCTCCTACTTGTACATGGTCACCCTTGCTCTCTTTCACAGAAAAACAAATAAATAATTAAAGGGGCTCCTGGGTGGCTCACTTGCTTGAGCATCTGCCTTAGGCTCAGGTCATAATCCCAGACTCCTGGGATGGGGATCAACACCCACGTGAGGCTCCCTGCTCAGCGAGGAGTCTGATTCTCCCTCTCCCTTTGCCCCTTCCACTGCTCTTCTCTCTCTGTCTCTCCTCCTCCCTCCCACTCTAATAAATAAAATCTTTAAAAAATAATTATAATAAAATAAAACCTAGAAATAGAACACACAAATTCAGCCCATCTGTTAGTAACCATAAATGTCTAAATAAAAGCAGAAAGAAAAATTTGCCAAACTACTGATGAAAGCTGTACCACAAGACTTCTAGCCAACTTACGAAAATGAAAAAAAAAAAAAAAAAAAAAACCTTTATGTTTCAAGAGAGATCAACCAGGAGCTTGGGTAAGTAAGAGTAAGGAAAGGCTCAATAAAATAAAACAGCAGCTCTACTGTGAAGGCAGCTTACTTTTTAGTTTGAGTAACTCTTTTCATCTGTATCAAACTCAGTGTATAACAGCAAACTAAAGTAGCGGGAATTCAGGTCATGATCTCAGGGTCCTGATCAAGCCCTGGGTGGGACTTTGCACTCAGCGGGGAGTCAGCTTCAGAATTCTCTCTCTCCCTCTGCCCCTCCCCTCTTCTCACTCATTCTCTCTAAAATAAATCATTCTTTTAAAAAAAATTTAGATCAAACTAAAAACACAAGATAAACGGTGAGTAGTGATGAAAGAAGCATAATTAGGACACTAGTTAAGAGAATGTATCAACTGTTTTTACTCTCTTATAGAGAAGACCCCAGCTTTATATCCAAGCAACACATTAAGAGATTTTTAATATACCATACCACTGACTACATGAAGCTCAGGAAAGATTACCTTAAACCAACTCAAAAGACTCTCTTGAAAATTAACAGCCACAACAAGCTATGAACAAATATATTTAAAAATTTCATTTGCTGGCAATGCCTAGGTGGCTGTCAGTTAAGCATCCGACCCTTGATCTCAGCTCAGGTTTTGATCTCTGGGTTGTGAGTTCAAGCCCCATGCTGGGCTCTACACTGGGTGTGGAGGCTACTTAATTTTTTTTTTCATTTGCTGGGGCACCCCGCTGGCTCAGGAGGTGAAGCATGTGACTCTTGATCTTGGGGTTGTGAGTTTAAGCTACACCTTAGGTGAAGAGATTACTTAAAAATCTTTTTTTTTTTTAAGATTTTATTTATTCATTTATTTAAGAGAGAGTAAGCAGGGAAGGGGCAGAGGGAGAGGGACAGGCAGATTCCACGCTGAACGCAGAGCCTGACTCATGGCCATACCATGACCCTGAGATCAAGACCTGAGCCAAAATCAAGAGTTGATGTCCAACCGACTCACCCAGGTGCCCTAAAAAGATTTTAAGTTTGTTTAAATAATAAAAATTTCATTTGTTGATGCTAATCATAATCTAAAGGATGAAACATAATGTTTAAACCCTGCTGACAAAAACTTGGTCTATAAAAAGCACAGTTGACTCTCATTCTCTGTCAAATAAATAAAATCTTTTTTTAAAAAAAGCACAGTTGATTATAAAATCATACAAAAATATGGCATTCTAGATAATACAAAATGGACACAGAAGGAAAAATAGTCTTGACAGAGAAACAAGCTTATAAGTGATTTTTTCTTTTTCATCTGCTGTTACTGTAAAAAGATTTCAAATTCAAATGCTAATGTCATGTTTTAAGTACATTCTTTTTTGTTTCATTATTGAAAAGAAGACAATTCTGTTACACAGGCAAAGTAGATGATCTGAATAAAGAACACATTTCGCAGAGCCCAGAATAATTTTAGGGCAGTATACAGTCTGAGATGAGAGGTCTTGGTTTCTTACCTAATATGCTTCAAATAAGAGTGAAATGCGGGCCCACCCACTAGTCCACAGCAGATTAAGCCTGAATAGGAGCTGGTCTCCCTAAACCATTGATCAGTTCTCTGCCCTGGTGTTGCCCAAGCTTCAATAATGCATACCACCATGGACATTTTCCTAGGGTGTTAAGTCCCTATATCACTATTTAATATGTTTCTCAAGTCACTTCTCCTTTTCCTTTTTTTTAAGTTTTGAACTCACAACCCCAAGATCAAGAGTCAAATGTTCTACCAATTGAACCAGTCCAGTCAAATGCCCCTCAATTCACTTCTTTAAAAATACACACATACGTCTCTCCATCTTCTTTTCTTCCCTCCTCTTTTTTAAGTTGGTAAAACATGCATATAACACTTATCATTTTAACCATTTCTAGATTTACAATTCTTAGCAGTAAGCACATCCATACTATTGTACCACCATCACCAGTCTCCATTTCCAGGACTTTTTTTTACCATCCCAAACAGAAATTCTGTACCCGCTAAACAATCATTCCTCATTCCCTCTTCCCCCATCTCCTGCTAACCACCATTCTATTCTGTCTCTATGAATTTGCCTATTCTAGGAACTTAAGTGTAATCAACAACAATTATCCCTTGATGTCTGGCTTATTTCACTTACCATAATGGTTTTAAGGTTTATCCATGTTGCAGTTGGTATCAGAATCTCAGTTTACTTTTTTAGAAACATTTACCCTAAACTATAAAGTCACCAAAGTGACATTAGATTATACATTTTCCTAGTCAGCATTAAAATTTCTAACTACCATCATTTAAATGTTCATATGAATACTCCTAGGGGTACCTGGGTGGCTCAAGTCTGTTAAGTGTCTGCCTTTAAGTGTCTGCCCCTAGCTCAGGTCATGATCCAGGGTCCTGGGATTGAGCCCCAGGGCATGTTCCCTGCTCAGTGGGAAGTCTGCTTCTCCCTCTGCCCCTCCTCCCTGCTCATGCTTGCAGTCTCAAAAACTAAGTAAATAAATAAGTCTTATAAAAAAAAAAAACTAAATCACCAGTATTATATCAGCACATTTTAGAAAATATTGCACTATAGGTATAGGCGTGCATACCAGAAGGAGGGTGCTATTACAAATCAAAGGCAATTAATTACAAAATGACTAAATTAATTAAAGTGTAAAAACAGAAATTCATTATCTTTCATTCTTTAATCGTTTTAGATGACCATTTTTAAACAGAAAAATAATTGCTTCTGGGCTTATTAAAGAATATTCACACACACACACACACACACACACACACACAAAGTGAAACAATTGTTTTCCTGCAGTCCAACAATTTAAAAACTTTGAAATTTGCATAAAGACCATTACTGGGGAGAGAAATGTTGCCAAGAAGTTGTGATTTATGAGTACGGTTTAAAAACAACTATAGCATCATAGTTGTTAAAATGAAAAGAATTAGCAAGTATTTCTCTAATTCCAAAGGCCCAGAGACACACACATACACACATCCCCCTTTTAAAATGTTTATGAGTTGCAAATCTGTTCTTAAATCCATTACTTTTATTACTAGTTGCTCTTAGTGCTCAATTTTATTGGCTAAATAATCACCTAAAAGTAAGTAAATGAAGATTAAATAACTAGAAATTATTATAAACCAGTAAGTTAACAGCAGCAGGTAACATTTACTGAGAAATGACCACATATCAGACTTTTAAGAAATGGCCACATTGAAAATACACTCAATATGCAAAATCATATTTGTCATGGTTATGTGACATCTCCTTTTGTAAAATATTGCTATAATTCCCTTGTTATTAAATATTCTATTCACATATTACACCAGAAAGAGCAACTGGAATTGGAATTCTATGCACAACCCTGGTTCTTGGGTCAGCTCTACCACTAGCTAAGTCAGTGACCCTGGGCAAGTTACTTACCCTCTTTAAGCTTCTGTATTCTCATTGGTAATGTGATGCAACTGGACAGGATAATCCTAAGGACCTTTTCACCTCTAAAGGTTTGTAATGGCTTATAAAAAAAAATATACTGGTGAACTTACAACTGTAAACTACCAGCCTTATG